CTCCAGGACTTTTCAGACATAATGCAAGGTAAAACAGTCCATGTCGTCAAAATTTGCTTTGCAACTCTTTTCAGACTAAAAGCATTTCAAGATTATGTTTTTATTTATATACAATAAAAAAATAGCAAATACTTTATCATATTTTATACCTAGTTTTTGCATTAGTTATTTAAATATAGTTTAATGTTTTTTTTTTTGACGCTCTTAATTTGAAGTTTAGCTGCTAAAGATGCGACATGCTAACACACACGGTGCCTGACTCAACCAGAATTGTTTGTAAGATGAAATAGTTTTATTTAATTTGGGATAGATGACATAAAAATAGAAGTTTTATGCTTGTGAATTCTTTAAAGGACTTAATATTAGTGGAACCTAATTTAGCGGAAGCTAAATTGGTCCGCTAACAGTTTCTAAAGTTAGCAAAAAAGCTAATCCGCTAAGTGAGAAGCTAATTCTGCTATTAACAGAACTGTGCTCACCACTGGTAATAAGATTACGGATAAGTTTCTCCATGTAAACTTTTTATTTTTCGTCAGTTAAACCTGCCATCAGCTCATGAGTTTCATTATTTCCTCGGTTCAAGACTAAAAGAAAGACGAAGAAAAGAAGAGTTTGTTACCTGACAGGCGTCCACTCCTCCTGTCAGAACTCCAGCACACATCATCCGGGATGTGATCTGCCCTGCCATTAAACTGTTACAGATTGTCTGGTTTATAAATCGGACCTGGGCTTTCTGGAGAACTTTTTCTACACCTCCTGGATTAAAACAGAACAGAAAAAAAATTAGATCATTATCTTCAGAACAACGAGCTCACAGGACTTCAGTACAAGATGTAACATTAGACAATATTTGTTAAACATTTACTTTTACTACAAAAACTAAACTGTAAAAACCCTGTTGTGTGTTTTGTTTTTATACATTTTAAAAATAAGTGACCCATCACATCGAAACGAGGATTAAGTCCAGAAGGGGGATGTGGAGAATCAGGGAGATAAAGTGTTTTGATTTAAATGTGCAAAAATTGCATTTTGTCAAAATATAATTAATTAATGCCTTATCAATGAATCATTTCAATGAACTGTCTGAAATATAATACTAAAAATATTTTTGAAGCATTTTAGATTAGACCTCTGGTGTGAGCTCGAATGTTTGGACAGTTTCTGACGTTCAAAAGTTTTACTTAAACTACTTGACAGAAAGAAGAATGTAGTAATATATGATATTAGTGCAGGAGCTAATGCCACATATTTATTAGTAATATATGGATGTCATTAGTTTGGAAGCTAATGCTAACTATATTAGCACAGAAGCTAATGCCACATATTTATTAGTAATATATGGATGTCATTAGTTTGGAAGCTAATGCTAATTATATTAGCTCAGGAGCTAATGCCACATATACATTTAGATCCAAATCTTTTTGGACAGAGACACCATTTTCCTAATTTTGAATTTTGTACAAAACATTTCAGATGCAGTTGAAGTTCAAACTCTAGCTTTAATTCAGTGAGCTGATCAAAATGATTGCATGGAAATGTGAAAAACTAAAGCAATTTTTAAAACACAATTCCTTCATTTCGGGGGCTCAAAAGTAATAAGAAAATTAAATAATTTAAATCAAAGTTTCATGTTTTTGTGCATCTGTGTGTGTGTGTGTGTGTGTACTTGCCTCCTTCTCGTGAAGCACCCCATCCTGAGATCCAAACGGTGTCGCCTGTGTTAAACTGATGCTGGGCGGCGGGTAAGCAGATGGGCCTGATGTGGTCGGAGTAAGTGACGGGAGAGTCCAGCTCCATCAGGGCGATGTCGTTATCGAAGGTGAACGGGTTGTAATAAGGGTGGGAGATGACCTGCTTCAGGTTCCTCTTCACTACGGGACTCCCAGTTACCCCCTGGGTGTAAAGACCCAGGTAAACCTCCCAGGTGCCGGGCTTAGACAATCTGAGGACAAACAAAAAAAAAAACACAAACTCTTAATCTTCCTCCTGAAGGACCTCAAAGTGTTTCACAAGAGTAAAAAGTTAAGATGTTGACTTACTTCAGCGCTCCCTCATCCTGGACGCAGTGGGAAGCAGTGACGAGCCACGTGGGACTGATGAGGGACGCTCCGCACACGTGTCCACTGTTCTTGATGTGGAGGCTGACCTGCCACGGAAACTCTCCAGCATCTGCGTTCTCCCCGCCCACGATGCGTGACGACTTTAAAGTTCTCGTCCCGCAGTCTGCAAAGCAAAGCAGCTGATAAGAGGAAGAACCTGTCGCTGCTTGTTGTGAAAAACCGGTTCGACCGAAAAAAGCGCCCACGAAAAAAAACAGTTTTAATATCAGGCGTGTTTTGAAAGTCGTACCGCAGTTCTTCTCATCAGATCTGTCATTGCAGTCGGGCACGTCGTCGCACTCTGGGTTTGTTTTACTGATGCAGGTGTTGTCTTTGCATTTGTACGTGAGGTCAGTGCAGGGCACTGAAAGAGAGCCTGAGAGGAAGAAATAAATTACAAAACAAGTTTAAAAACATCCTGCATTAACTTCTCCTAATTAATTTAATAAAATCATCCTCACTTTGACTCGTCTGACAGTCGAGCTCATCCGACCCGTCGGCACAGTCGTTATTGCCGTCGCATACTTTCTTCTCAGACACACATTTTAAGTCTTTGCAAGTAAACTCTCCAGATTTACATCCTTAAACAAACAATCAGAAAAATTAGCATTTTCTGCAAAGTAAACTTTATTAGATAATTTTAATAAAAATAATTTTAAAGAAGCTGAAACCATGTTGTTCAAGTAAAAATAAAGTATTCAAGACACAAGCTAAAATGAGCAGAACAGTAGTTAAAAGTTAAAATAACAAAAACAAAAAAGGGTAAAAGCTTGAACGATATGGACAGCTAAAATTAGCCAAACTGTAGTTAACAGTAACAAAAACTTTGCTGAAAGCAAAACAGTATCAAACAAGTTAAACGGGACAAATTAATCTAGCAAAAATTAATATAGGCAACACAGTAGCTACAGCTAACACAAACAAAACCATAGCTAAAAGCTAAAACAAATAAAAAGTAGCTTAAGCAAACAATAACAAATCTAGCTAAAAGCTCAAACCAGCTAACAATAAAACACAGCTAAAAGCTAAAACAAATAAAAAGTAGTTTACGCTAACAATAATAGAAAACATAGCTAAAAGCTAAAACTAGCAAAAAGGTAGCTAAAGCCAACAATAAAACACAACTAAAAGGTTAAACTAGAAAACCCGTAGCTAAGGCGAACAATAATAAAAAGAGCTAAAAGCTAAAACCAATAAAACAGCTGCCAAAAATATAAAACTTGCAAAACAGTAGCTTGAACTAACAACGAAAAACACAGCTAAAAGCTAAAACCAGCAAAACAGTAGCTAAAACTAACAATAATTAAAAACACAGCTAAAAGCTAAAACCAGCAAAACAGTAGCTAAAACTAACAATAATTAAAAACATACCTAAAAGCTAAAACCAGCAAAATAGTAGCTAAGGCTAACAATAATTAAAAACATAGCTAAAAGCTAAAACCAGCAAAACAGTAGCTAAAACTAGCAATAATTAAAAACACAGCTAAAAGCTAAAACCAGCAAAACAGTAGCTAAAACTAACAATAATTAAAAACATAGCTAAAAGCTAAAACCAGCAAAAAAGTAGCTAAAACTAACAATAATTAAAAACATAGCTAAAAGCTAAAACCAGCAAAAAGGTAGCTAAAACTAACAATAATTAAAAACATAGCTAAAAGCTAAAACCAGCAAAAAGGTAGCTAAAACTAACAATAATTAAAAACATAGCTAAAAGCTAAAACCAGCAAAAAGGT